AGGGCTCGGTTGACGTTTTCCAACTTGATGCATCTGTGGTGCTGTAGCAACATCCGGTTGTCTGTGAAGGGTCGAGTCTATGCTGCAGCAGTTCAGCCAGTTCTGCTACACGGCGCAGAAACTTGGTCATTAAGGAAACAGGATAAAGACAGACTGTCGGTGTTTGAACACCGCTGTCTACGCAGCATTGCACGATTGGTGGGGCAGTCGGACGAGCAATGCTGAGGTTAGGGGCAGAGTTTTGGGTATCCGCGGTCGCTCACTGGAGCAAGTGGTGAACCTCCATAAATTACACTGGTTGGGGCATGTGTTACGTATGTCACCAGATAGGTTACCACGGCGAGCGATGTTCACCGAAACAGACACCGAGTGGGAAAAAGCCAAGGGTGGTCAAGCTAAGACCTGCCATGAGGGTATGAAAACCCTAACCAAGAGACTAGGTCCCATAGGTCCTGTTAAACTCCCTGGCTGGGGACCTCGGGATGATCGTAACCGATGGTTAGAGACACAGTGATATGGCTGGATGTCGTAAACAGTGGCGTTCGTGCATCTCAATTTCTTTGCAACCTTAGACCACTGAACTTCTCCTGTTTCTGTTCGACTCCACTTTCAACTTTCCTGTTCTTCTCCTAACCTTCATCCAAATGGGCAGCCAAAAGAAAGCAATCAAAAGCGGCGCACGAATATGCGTGGTTAATGGTTGTGCAAACTGAACTGAACTACACCCGTTTGAATTAATTTTTGACGTCTAACCTATCGGGGCCTCATGTGATTCGCTCCACTCCAATCCCGGGGATTAGGTGACCGGTTTCCATCGCTGAACAGCAGGTCCTCGTGACTATGGGGTTGGCCCGGTGTACTGTTCATCAGACTTAGATGTGTAATAAAAAAAACTAAATTAGCTACTCTTTATTTAGCATTACGCAAACTGTTTCAACTTTCGTTTTATGACACATTTGTGTGATGAACATCAAACGGGGTAGACACCATAGTTACGAAACCCTGCTGTTCAGAGATGGAAACCTAAACCGCCAGGACTTGGAGTGACGAACCCCTTAAGACCCAGTCGCTAGGTCAAGCGTGGTATTGAACCGGACGACAGTAAGGATGCCATCGATTACGTTATTACGTAACTGTTTCTACGCTTGTGATCATAACCCCCTTTTGCGCTCACTCAATTTCAAAGGCCTTGCCCATCCCCACCATCTTCATTGCTTGTAAGTATGCTGATGATATTGTGATTGGTTGCCCAGGCCCTATTTCAGACAGTTTTGACCTCTCCAGGACAGTCTTAATGAACTTTACGATTGGTCCGTGACCCGATCCCCTAAACTTAACGTCAGTAAGTGCATCGAAGTTCCATTTAGTCTTAAAACCGGTCCCCGTTATTTTTCATTAGTTGATAATCTCCCTGATCTTAGAATTAACAATCAAAGCATTCCCAAGTCTGAATCTGCTAAATACATTGGTGTCACCCTTACCCATAACCTGTCCTGGTCTGCTCATGTCATCAACGTTTTCATAAAAGTTCGAAAACTGTCCTTCTATGCTTACAGGCTCAGGAAACTGGCTGTACCGCATAATGTTATGATTAGATTTGTGATTGCCTGCATTCTTCCACACTGGCTATACCGCTCCTCGATTTTTATCCCCGGACTGAAAGAAAAAGACTTCTCTTTATTTTCAAGATCCCTTAAACTTTTGTCCCGCTACAGTGGAGTTGATAAAACTGTTTTAGTTGATTTCTTTATTTCCAAGCTCCTTCCTGCACGGACTTCCACTTAGCGAAACAGCGTAATTCCATACCTAGCTCGTTTACTAGTAAATCGTCAGCATATCCTCACCCACCTCAGGGAAAATCTCTTGCCCTAATTTTTTCTCTCATTTATTATAGTGCAGAATTTCTCACACTATTTTCTTGTTTACAATTATTTTAACTATCCACTGTAAAACTCGTGAACTGCCGAAAATTCACTTTTTGGGTGCATACAGATTTTTTTTGACTTGACTTGAAAAACCAAACTTCTCTCATTCGATTCATAGCAATTTTGTCAATGTCCGTGTCGATGATATTCCAGTTGCGATATTTCGACCTATGCGTAAACAGCTGACTGAGAGCACGGGAAATTTATGACCAATATCAATTCTACTCATAATGCATCACATACTGTATTCTTTTTCAAACGAAGTAAAGAGGAACAATTTTTTGCGATATCTCAATCCGGTTTCAATTTCCCAACCTTCGATATATCAGAAAAACGCTGCTCCATTAATAGTACCTGGTAATGTAGACCACTTTGGAGGTGCCACGGGGCAGGAAAAACGAGACCAGGCGAGCCGGTGCGGGAATGTCCGGCTGAACGTCCTCGGAATTCGGTTTGCCGGCGGCGTCCGGGCCGAGTGGTGCATTCTCCCCGGTCGGGGTGGGGTTGGTTGGGGGCGGAACCGGGAGCATTTCCATGGTCTGTCTTAATGACATCTTGACTGGTTTAATCAGATTGATGTAGATGCGTAAAGTACCAGCCAGACGACACGAATCGTCAACCTATAGCAAGGGGCGAGGGGGGGAATCAAATATCCACAAAAATGAAGTGTCAATAACGCCAGAAACAAAATATGATTACACCGACAGACATGTGCTGCAGAGCAGATATCTCCGAACAACAACAACCATGAGAAAGTACTGACTATAACAAAGTTAAGAGCCTAGACCGGTCATGATGACTCTCCAATAAGGTAGAGGAGAGTAAACATGACTCGATAAGCACGTACGGTGTACAAATCCCCTTCAGTGAGAGAAACAGCGTGAGCTGCAGAAACATCCATCACATGAGTACCATAGAACCGAAATTGATAAGTTCTACCCACAGATCAGCACGTAGCTATAGTCTTCATCTTAATCTCATTCGAGAACAGTCGAGATAAACACGCGAGCGTTAAAACCTATCAGAGAGAAAACGACGAATCCCAACAAAAGTGTCCAAATCCCAGGTGCCTTGGCTTCATTTAGACATCGACGGAATGCTGCGATCCCGTGAAATTTATATAGTGCTACAAGAAGATGAAAAAATAAATACTGGCGAATTTTTCGTGTCTTTGCCTTGGGACGATAACGTGCAACCGGATGTTATGCAACTGTGACGTGTTTCCTCTATGAACTCCATTCCTTTCCAAGCGAACTATTCTGTAAAAAAAACGTTATACACTGAGTTCTGTTGTGTGAAATGCGGTAAAAAGTGGAGTATTCGCGAAGTGTCACGGGCTGGTATTGCTCTTTGTAGAAATGTACTCATTCTCGCGATTCATTGCGAGACAATACTACTGACAATTAAACTAAAACTACCGAGAAAAATCCGCTCAATTGCTCGGGTTTCGTTTGAACGTTGCAATGCCCCTGGAGTGGCAGTTAGTCTGTTGGCTCGTGCGCACATTTTCCGACTCGATCTGACCACGGAACGCGTGCATAGTAGTTATGGTTTCACTTTATCCCATACAGGTATTGACCAAACTCGTGCAACATTCTGATTTTCATCACATTTGTTCCTCTCAATGCTTCGTTTTTCCAGCTTCATTCACGAGACTGAATATGGTTTTGCTCCGCATCAGACGCAACATATCTGATATAATACCCACTTACGTCTGTGCTTCTACTAGCCACACGCCATTAAAATGTACAATTTTGCGATTTTGACTATGGGTACCGATGTATCAGTTGAAGAATAACAAAGCCACAATAGAAAACATAACTAAAATTTATTTATCAAATTGACTCATGGGCTTCATTTCGTCCATGTTCCATTTACCCTTCTTCATTTTTGAGCACTGGAGGCAGTCACTTTGGCATCGAGTCCACCAAGAAGACTGCCAAACACAATTTGCCAGCTTCCTCTAATACACCCTACACCCTAACCACTGACGACTAACGTCGAGGCAGCCGACTTATCCCTGTTTCTGATACAGGGAAAATTTTCCAATAAAATTGAAGTTCCAGCTGCTACGCGGTGATGGAATGAATCTGACATTGAACTTGACCGCTTCAGAGACTGTATAAACGTGAAAAAATAATATTTACTTAAATCTAACCATTTTTTACCATAAACTTCATGCGAAAAGATAAATCAACCGTTATCTGTGAAAAATATGACTTCTACAAATACATTTAAAGAATAGTAGTATTTACTTCACTACACTCAAGGTCACGCAAATTCAAACGGTGATAGGAGAGGACTGAGAACGTAGAAGTGGGAGATAAAATCGGGAATAAATACACTTTAACCATAGCCATCCATATACAAGTATCATATTGGAGACTGAAATGTATTTCCAAAATGACAATGATGTTGCACGCGTTTGCTCAACACCTGTATAGACCGCACCGAGATGACGAAACAGAACGGAATCGACACGAAATGGGGCGAAGCATTGACCTTGTGTGCACACGCTCGCGCGCACTCACACATACACGACGAATTCGCATTTGAAAAAAACTAATGTTGTCGCCAGTCCTCATCCAGGTTCATATGCCATTATTCATTTCGGATCGAAGGATCACGAGGGGGGACGGGGGGAGGGGGCGGGGAAGAACAGAGCTTGGTCGGTTGAATGTAGCAAAAAAAGCACACCAACCAGAACCTCTGATCTCCTCCAGCGGACGGTGGTAGAGATGGGTGTATGCCCTCATCAGCCGGCAGCTCTATACGGCCGTACATTGTGATTGAACAGGCCGAAACATGGTCCACCTCCTCAACAAAGCATAAACTGTTTGTCGGACATGCTTGCTAGTAGCTTTTTCCGATGCAACATGTTACGTCACTCATGTTAGCTACAGTGTAATCAGACATGGTGAGATAATTATCGCCTTGATTTGCAAACCAGGTTTAGCGACGCTCAGTAATGGATTTA